TCTCTCACTTACCCACTTGACATAAGGTCTCTGACTGAACCTGGAGCAGCTCTAGCAGCCAACAAGCCCAAATGATACCCTGTCTCTTCCACCCATAGACTGGGTTACAAGTGCATGTGTCCATACCCAGCTTTTTATGTGGTTGATGATCATTCAAACTCAGTTTGTTGTGTGTGGACATCAATCACTCTTATTGACTGAGGCCTCTACCAGGCCACTGACTGTTTTGATTTTGATTTTTAAATAGAACTAAGAGTGAGTCTTCACTGAATGTTTTATAGATTGAGTTAAGTTGAAATTCACAAGAGCAACACAAAACTGTAAAATTCGGGTGTATGTTGAAATACGTAATGCAAAAATTCTGCTTAATATGCAGGTAACCAATCTTTCAATAGAGTTGGTCAAAGGAACAAATCCACCCATTATTGCATGTTTTTATCCTAAAGGCTCCCTGAAAAACCTGATGCTCTCACACTTGTCCCAGAGGATAATGGCCCTCCATCGCTTCCTGTGGTAAAGTGATCCTTTGTGAAATTCATTTTCTTATGAATGTTGTTAAAATGCAGCAGTAGTCTACCTACCTCAGTTTTGTATGAAAATTTGGCTAGAGAAAATTATTTTGTTGGTGTGAACCATCACTTCTATAAATTGTAAATGAGCAATAAGACCTTGTAGGTAGTGGTGGCCCAATACAAGAATGGACTGGAAAGACAGTGGTAAGAAGACAAAGGCTGACCTCCACAGCTCAGGGCAACTGAAAACCCAGGTACTGGATTTCATTACAGTTCATGCTTCTGAGGCCTCTGAGACCTCAGCCTGGAAGGCAATGGTGGGCGCATATCCCCATTTAGTGGCTGAAGCATACCATTCCTGGCTTCTGCTCATCTCCCTTTCTTGGAGTCCCCTTTCAAATGCTTGAAGCAATCTTAGGACCTGGTCAGCCTTGTCCTACACTTGTCTCCGAGAAGCAGTAGCTAAATGTTGTTATCAATGACACCTGGTTAGGATACGGGATGTGTGGAACATTTCCAGTGGAACTGGGGAAAGACAGCATGGTGGCTCAGGGTATAATACAGCTGTAAATGAGTTGTCAGGTTAAGGGAGGGGAAGTGCTGAACTATGTTGTGCACTATGCTGTTACTGTCCTGGTTTGATTTTTGTCAATGAGTTGGAAACTGGAATTCATTTTAGTTGCTGACCCCAAGCACATTACAACAACATTTCTTTGGAGAACCCTGTCTGGATTGGACTGAGCAGAACTTATGGTCAATGACTCTGGAAAGGAGAAAATAAACATGAATGTTTGCTTACAAGAGAAGTGGAAGAGAATGCTTACAAGAGAAGTGGAAGAGAATGAAGACATTTTTTCTCCTAACTCAGTGTGTGGGACTAAAGAGATGAGTCAGTTGCAAAAGCAATGTTTGCTCTTGCAGAGGACCCTTGTTCAGTCCTCCTCTTTCCTCCATGGACACATCCATCTCTGTAAACAATATATACCCAAATAAAATACCAAATGAATAAAAATGTTAAAATCAGTTTGTGGATTCCAGTGTTGTTTTTGTTTGAAGAATCCCATATTAGTCCATCCAGCTCTGTTCATCTGTGGAAGTTTATGCAGGGTCTTACTGCCACACTCATAAAAAAAAACTATGAGACAATACCTACAGAAATACTGTTTCACTCAGAGATTGGGTCTAGTCCAATGGACATCAGTTATGCTTTCTCTAGCAGCTGATGGTACCAGATACTGAGATCCACAACCAAACATTAGGCAGAGCTCAGGGAATCTCAAGGAACAGGGTAAGGCAGGATTATAGGAGGGTTCAA